TGTGTGTGTGTGTGTATCTACAATATTAGTTAAATAACAGAACTGCTACTCACTGAATGTGTTTGTGATTAACACAAGCAGGTTGAATGTGATTTATGGTGTTATCTGTATTAAAGATGTCACTTGGAAAATAATTTATATTTGCCTGTTTTTGTTATGTGTTCTTTGTAAGAATGGTATGTAAAATATTTTATAAGCTAGTGTTTCTTTAAGTAAGAACAACGTACTTGTGTGAGTGATAGAGAATCTGTTTTAACAAAGGTTATTTTACTTCCTTCTGTTCTAGATGCAACCATAACAAGTATACTTCACAGTATCTAATTTCTCTGTGGAAGAACCAACTAAACAAGACAAAACGTAGTGAAGAGGAGGAAGATAATTCTGATATTGAAGACCAGATCTTAATCTCAAGAACTGAATTTGATATGTCAGAAGAGTCGATGCACAGTGATTAATTGTACATAGTAGTTTCTTAAATAAATCTCTATAAAAACATACCAATTTGTGTGATTCTTTCTCAAAAGACATGCAATTTACCCACACATTGTTTGGAGGTAATTACTACAGCATTCTTCAAATATCCATTGGTGTAGAGATTCTCTACAATACAAACAAGATCTCTTGATGAAATAAAAGGGGTTATGTTGAGAAAACAACAATATAACTTAGTCAAGTTTCAGGTCTCTGCATTTATTCATAATAACAAAGAATACATTAGTTCACTACACTAATAGTGATTAGTAAGATTTGAGATGACAACTTATTTTTCACTTTATAACAGGCCTAACTTTGCTTCCATCATCATGTGTGGTGGTCCCATAACTTCTGGTTCGTCTGGATCTGAAAAAGATTTAACACACATATTCAACAAAACAATATGTACAAACAAACAGTTTTTGTAATAAATCATTGTTCTGATATACTGACCATTCAAGATGTCCTCAAAGCCAATTACTTCATCGCTTCCTTCTAGTGCATCCAACATAACATTGGAGCTACGCAGCGAGGGTAGTCTTTGAATCTTGAAATAAACAATAAATTGTACGTTTAGATAATGCCTACTACAAAACTTATCGATACCAAAAATGACACACAGCTCAACAATCCAATAAAAATATGTAATATTCAAAATTATACTGAAGTCTATAGTATATTTTTTTAAGAAACAATTGCCAATAAATTATGAACAAAAATACTATAACTTTCAAATTTCTGATAGTTGATGACTCTTAGTGGTGAAATAAGAAAAAAAATCACACTTAAGATTGTATTTCTATGAAGTCTCGGAATTTGATAAAACTAATGAGTACATGTGAGGGCCAATAATCACAAGACAACAAACAGCGCTTCTTTTTATAATAATTGTCAAATCGGTCATTCGCGGCTCTACGTAGCATGTTTATTTCTTAGAAATCAAACTTTACATGTTTCCTAGTATATTTCTCACACCAAGAAAACGTACAGATATTTTAACCACACATTAAGAAGATCACTGTACCTTTAGAGCAGCATTCCTCTCTGCCATCAGTTTCAGGGGAGCATGTAGACCTTGAATCGAGCGTAACATCTTAAAGTTTGTCTCGAACCTGCTCTGTTTATACTAGAATACAATTTCATGATTTGATGAACAAAAAAATGTATTACATGAATCTTCTCATTGACAACAAAAATTCAAACTAAAATCTTGGACAATAGGGAGGAATGAATGTCGGCATTCTATTAATTACACCTTACATTGATCAAACAAAAAATATCACAGGGTTTGAAAGCGTATTTATCATTTTATATATTACATTCAATTTTCTTTTGATGCAGATAAACAAATCACAAAAAATGAGCTTGTTTTCCTTGGCCAAATGAGGAAAAATACTTAAGTGAAACTTAAAAACAACTGTTACACTGTACTTACTAATTTTTCAGATATTTCCAGAGGATGTGGAGAGCTGAGGTCTGACTTTACACTTTGAAACCTGATAAGAGATATTATAATGTATTACTTGATTTCTAACATTTATATTTAACTTGTACCTCGTAGCTGCTTATCCTACTAGAATTGATCACTTGTATTTACACATTATGACAAAGGTTTGGGTGACCAAACAAGCAAGGATAAAGGTTATCCCAAACTAAATTGTGAACTATTCCTAAGAATTCATGAAGCTTAAATTTTTTAAATCCACATCTTCAAAACTTTTTATAATACCTTAATTTTTTTTCTGCTCTTGAAGTATGGTGTACCATATTTTTTAACAATAATATCAACATAGTTTTTTGTGAGTTGAGAGCCATTACCAGATCTGTTAGATTATCATCTAAGAGTCACTTATTTGTCACATATAAGATTTTTTTATATAGTTAAAATAATGAACTGAACTTTATGTAACACTACAATTTTGTGAAATAAATCTGTTTACTAAACATCTATAAGACACTTCATATTACTGCTGTTTTGTATTGTTTTTTTCTCGCTACTTTAAAAATACTATTAACACTAACTCCATTGCTCATGATCTTTTGATGCTACTCAGTTCACAGTTACTGATGAAAAGTGGATCCTTCAATGTTAGTCTAAGCCATAGGAATGTGCTACTATAAAACTACTGCTTTAAAATAATATTGTACCTAAACAATACATATATATACATATTTCTGTTCGTGTCTTGGTGGTTAACTTATTTTTCATACATTTAAAAAAAATTGTAATATCAAAAACTAGAGATTACTTCAGAGAGACCCGAGTAATTGAAATGATTAATATTAAACAAACCCGTGCACTAAAGTACTATGGATCCCATAGGGAGCATCTTCTTTAAGGGTAGTCTTGGGTAACTTAGAAGAAGCAGTAACTCCAGTTCGCCACTCCATTGTAACTCTAGAATAAAAAATAAAGGTTCATGCATCAACTGTCAAAACTTTTTAAGGTCAAATTTTCTCAGAACCAATAATCATGTCTAACAGTGCATCTTTAGTTTTTAACAGAATCAACTAGAGCTTTACGCAAAGAATCACGTTGCCTATATCACTACTTCAATGCTTTCTGTTAATATACTGTTGTAGGCTGTGTTTTTTATAAGTTAGCCATTTGTACTCTTTTTTAGGCTAGAGAGTTCTTGATTTGATGTGTACATGACATCTAACATATTTAGGGAAAAAGTTTTTGACAACATAAGAACAACAGTAGATTCTGGATTAGTTTAGTGAGTTAGTCTGTTACAGCATGGTTGACTGATTATTAAGATGGTAAGTGTGTTAGTTTCTTAGCCACTTCAGTGCTGTAATTTTGAAACTACATTTCAGCAAAGTAGTAGTTGAAATGCACAAATGGTTTGGTTTGGTTTGAATTTTGCATAAATCTACACAAGCACTAGCTGTCCCTAATTTAGCAGTGATAGGCTAGAGGGAAGGCAGCTAGTCAACGCTACCCACTGCCAAATTTTGGGCTACTGTTTTACCGACGAATAGTGGGATTGATCGTCACATTATACCACTCCCACGGCTGAAAGGACGAGTGTATTTGATGATAAGAATTCGAACTTGTGACCCTCAGATTGCAAGTCAAGAAACCTAACCAACAGGCCCAAATAAGTAATTATTTACTTTTATTTGTGAGTTAGGCCTATTACTAGATATGAAATTTCTAGTAAAAACTTTTTATGTGTGAATTTCGGTCTGTCACAAACGTAACTGGTAGGACTTGAGCAATGTAGTTGATGTAGCAATAATATGCTTTATTCATCATTAACTGAACTGGATTTTACATTATTTCTACTGAATAATCAAAAAGAACTCACCTAACAATACAAACCACTAAACCAATACATACTTGCACCTTAGAAAGATACATTATTTATAAGAACTGTTACTATATTATTAGTCTAGATTATGCACATCTACACCTCACACTTTAGAAACACAACAAATATTCTAAATAGTGATGCAAGCTGATGAATATTTAAAATAATTTTATAGCATAGTCTATTTAAAAAACGTAATTTTGATATAATTCTGAAAGAATCCAGTTGGTTTGATATCTGAAAAATGAAATGGCAGTTTCAAGTTTACTTGGTTAGTGAAAGTAATTAACAATGGAAATTCTGTATAATATATACCATTATTATTAATATATTCATGCACACCAGCTTCTTCTTTTACTGATAATTTTTGCGGGCCCAGAAATTTTACTGTTCAGTGATTCAATAATCTTACAAAAGGGTCCTGCATCTACTTTTTATATTACTATTTGTCATACGTCATATACAAAATATCCCTCTCAAGCACTGACAATCCATTAGAAAAATCCATGGGGAGGTGATGGTGTTGAGAATACAACGAAATAAGCCACAAATATTTTCCATGAAATTAATTTAAACGTTACACAATTTGCTAAATATTATTTAGATGTAGAATGAACAGCCTCGTGGTACAGGTATGTGTAAAACAAATTAATGCTTTGAAAGGATTTTTTTTATTAATTTTTGTCACTTACCTAATAAAGAATCTGAAATTGAAATATGCCAAACTACAGAACTAATTCTAACTGGCAATTCGTATATATATATTTAAAACAACTTGTATTTCTGGGGACAAAACATAATCTTTCGCTTTAAAAAAGAAAAGACTTACTTACAAAGCTAAAAAGCAGCAACACCACTAATACTTAAGCCTAATACTTTCTTGCAAGTCAAGGTATAGCTAGCCCTCTGGTGAAAAGGTTCTTATTGACTTGCTGTGGATTATTTTCTTAAATTTTAAACAATACTCATTACATTTATTCGGCACTAAAAGTTAATTTGAAATTAATAGTCGTATAATTAATGTTTCAGGATTTTTATACCTACGCATTCTTTTTTAAAGCTGCTATTAAATTACCCAGTCTTAAAATATTTATGAGTTAAATACTTAACATAAAACATTAGAAGTTGTTTAGAAAATTCGCGCAAAGCTACACTAGTATTATCTGCGCTAACAGTCTCAAATTTTAAACTGATAGATTAGAAGAAGAATATCTAATCAAAATATCACCCACTGTCAACTCTTGGGCTACTTTAATTGGATAGCGAGATTTGATTGTCACTCTTAAAACGCACTCGTTGACTCAAAGTTCGAAGCGCGATTTTGCGGCAGCTAGACACACACTGTGAATTCACAATCCAGCATAGCGTAGCATAATGGTTTGTACAACATGGGACCTGTTGGTTCATCTCGACTGTCCCATTTTCTAAACTAAACTAAAACTGTTAAGAAATCTTAAAGCCAGCTCTCAACCAGTAACCTATACATGCTAACTACTAGGCCAATGATTTCCAAACTGTGGTCCTCGGACCCCTGTGGGTTCGCGAAGTAAATACCATCTCATTAAACAAGTAAGTTTTTTAATTCTGTTGTTCGTTTAATTGCACACTCAGTTATATATGTATTTTATTTGGTAGTGAAAAATGGAAAAATAAGTTAATTGAGTAGATGGAATCTTTCAAAAACATGGGGTTCGTGGGGAAAAAATAGTAATAAAAGGGGGTCCTTGGTAGTGAAAAGGTTGGGAACTGCTGTACTGGGCCATGCCTGGAACATGAAAGAGAAAGAAATAACAACTTAAGGAACATAATTTCATTTGTAATGAATTATTACTTTAAGAACTAAAAATGGGAATTTGCACAAATTGAATTGCGATTGAACTTAAATATTATCATTAACTTCTTTGTTTTTAGTTATCAAGAATTAAGTTTAATTTAAAACGAAGATTTCTATTTATGTTATTATTCTTGACATTACATTTTAGAAGATAATGGTAAGTGGTTTCAACATAAAATGCACAAGTTAAAACAATATTGGCTAATTAACAATATCAACATTTATTTAAATGATGAATACAAGTGATTAATATATATAATATTATTTTTAATAAGCAGTTTCTGTCTTCGTGTCACACTTCTTTTTTAGTAATGGTCTAGAATTTACATCGTTGCATAGCAACAAAACTACCAACTGATATTATTGTTAAGCCAACTGTATTGAATGCTTAATATACATGTTGATTTGTTAGAATGGTTAGTTGTTTATTCTTTATAACTTCGATGATATAATAGCAAAACAGTTGAATTCAGAAATAAGTTAGATTTAGAATTGATATTTTTTCTTTCATGAGAAGTTTCATGCACCTAGGCCTAAGGTAAGTTATTGCACACTAAATCTTTACTACAGCCTATCGGCTTAATTACAAAACAGATAGTACTTTAGGCTTTCTTCTCGTATCATGATAAGTTAAATAACATTTTTTTTTCCAGTTGTTTGATAAACATCTAAGCTTTTGATATTGAGTTGGAGACAAAAGGAAAATAAAAGTTACCAAGGAGTTCAATGAAGTAGTGTTTCAGCTAAACCTTACGTTACGTTTTAGGCCTAGTGCTTAAATTAGACTACAAATACATCTACTATTACTGACGTTAGGGTTAGATAATATTTAGTTACATGTGTATGAGTATGAACACATAGTACTTAAATTACGCAATATTTACATACTTTGTTACAACATTTGAAAAGTTACAACATGAACAGAAAAAAAGGAATGTTTGTTTGTAGTTTAGCACAAAGCTACACAATAGGCTATCCGTACTCTGCCCACCACGGGTATCGAAACCTGGTTTATAGCGTTATAAGTCCGAAAACATTTCGCTGTGTCACTGGGTTTTACAATAGGAACGTAAAAACCTTTAAAAATGTATTATGCAACAATAACTAAAATTATGAAAAAAATTCCAATTTCCTTTGGGACGATTTTAACATTAGAAATAACATAAAAATTGTCAGTGTTGTGTATATAGAAATATTATGAAACAAAAATGTGAATAAAATTGTTGTTAGTTACAGAGTTTTCTTAACACACATAATTTTTGACAGGGTATACACTAGTAATATTAATAATTTCCTAACATAAAACTTTACATAAAGGTTAATATGATTAGTAATTTACCATAGTTAATATTTATTTTGAATCAAGTCAGAAATGTTAATTTGTTTGTTTGCTTGTTTTAAACACTAAACTACACAATGGGCTATATGTGCTGTGTCCACTGCAAAGCATCGAGCCTCGAATTTTAGTGTTATAAGCCATCGAGCTTACTGCTAATTCGCATAGAGACAGGGAATTGGAAAACTCAGGCATATCAAAATAATTCACTATGTTTGGTCGTAAGAAATGGCTGCAATGATTAAGAAGATATCAAAAATTAATGAAAGTTTTGTTTTTTAGTTGATATAATCTGTCCGTCAAAATATACATGTACTTGTTTAATATAATAACTTCAATGACAAAAAGTAAATTAAATACGTACCCTTTGTGAGTCTTACCATGCTAATAAATGAGTCAGTCTCGGTGGTAGAACATCATACTCAGCTATCTTTAATACTGTACTCAGTGGCGTAGCAAGGGTTCTCAGCACCCAGGGGTAAAGACACTTTTGACGCCCCCACCTCTGAAATATTTTGATTATTTGTTTTGTGACT